AGGGTCGGTGGTTCATAAGATAATTTAGAAAGTGTAAGTAAATGATTAATAAACTTATTAAATAATAAACTTAAGTAATGACATTGAAGAGGTTTATTTTTCATTATAAATCAAGTGTACATTGGTACAGTTGAATTTTTTCATCTTGAATGTGTTTGTTTCCTTTTTTCTGTTTAGACGATAACTGAGCCTCTAAATCTCTGTAAAAGCTGTACGAGGCATAAATAGTCCTCACTTTAGATGAGTTCACAAAAATAGATATCTGACAATTACTAAATGTTTTATAACTACCTGAATCATGAATTGTAGTAGGAATACCTGTTAATAAAGCATTTATTAACACTATTACTATATGTCAAATAATAAGATATATAAATGTATGTTTAAATAGTTTATTAATCATTAACTTACACATTCTAAATGATCTTATGAACCATTGACAACTCCTAAACAACGGGTTTATAATGTAATAATTTAGAAATGATAAATTGATCTTTAATAAAGTAAGAAAATACAATTATTAAACACATTATAAATATGCTTATAAATGAAGAATAAAACATTTATAACAGTACTTATAAACTGTTTACTAATGTTTATTAATGTAGGGATAATGCTTCATAAATGATGAATTAATCGTTTACTAATGCTTAACTAATGATCCATAGCGTGCAGTTACAATAAAGTGTTACCGAAAACTCTAAATATGTCGCTAGCAAAAGTTTTTTTGTTACTCAAGTAGATACTCAAGTATTTGTTTATAAAACATGTTCCCTGCATGCATTGCAGCTTGAAAACATTTTGTGATCATTATTATTAAAATATTATAATTGTTTTAAATTTTACTGGCTTAATTTATGCTGCTGGATCATATGGATCAGAGTTCATATTTTTACTGAATTAACATTTGTTGATCCTCACCATGTTTGAGAATCGTGTGTTGACGTATATGTGCATGTCATTGCAACTTCTTGATTTAATACATTTATCTATCAACATAAAAAGAGGCAGATACTACCCATATTATGTAGTGGGATTTGAAAACAAGCCATGAAAGAGGATTGCTAAATAATCTTTAGTTGATCTGACAGATCTTTTAAAATTCAATAGACTGCCTTTTATTCATGTAGAAGATCTAGTTTTTAAGTTGTTGGTTGCTAGTTGAGTTAACTTAACATGTTGACTGTGATAGGTTGCCTTATACTTTATTGAGTTAAGTCAACTTTTTTTTACATAGAAAACAAACCAATGTTTGCAATCAAATTCAAAGATTTCAATATGAACTCAAAATTTCATGCCAAATTCAAAAACTAAATTATCTGATATAATATCCAAATTCAATGTATAGCTTCATATACTTACGGTCTGACAACAGTTGTCTCTTTTGTTTATATTTCTCCTTTTAGGAGAAACATTTGAAAAGAAGCTGATACTTACATAAGTGCACCCACTTAAATGAGTCCTTTACATTTTCTGAGCTTTGAAAAAGAAACCTTTGAACAATGACATTTTTTCAGGGACAGGGAGAACAACAGTGGTAAGAATATTAAATTTGGCACTGGATTAGAAGATAATAATAAAGAGAAGATGTGGAGTAAATGAAGAGAGATGGAAGGAGAGAGATTATCAGATATGTCACTCTTCTACCGTCTGTGAATCAATAGGCTATTGACCTTCTGCCTCTGATTGTTTGCAGAGCCACTGTGTTGGGCCTGTGAAAAAGTACATCTCAATTAGTGTAACCCTCTGTTCATGAGGATAACAGGTGGTGTGGCACTTGTGGCACTATTGAACAATAGCCATTGTAAATGCTGAAATAATTCAGGCTCTAGTAAATATGAGGGAACAAAAAGCCTTCATGCAGACTGAGAAATTAAAAATGAGCTTTTGACATATTATAAGCTTGTAAAATTACATTAATGTAAAAAGTAAAGTAAATAAAATTTTGTGAAATATGCATTATATTTAAGTAATTTTTTTTTGAGAACTGTTCATTCCCTTACTTTCATACACCCATAATGCAGTATCGTCCTTCAAATCCATGTGTGTGTGTGTGTGTGTGTCTGAGGACAGTAACAGAATGATACTTAAATCCCTTTATGTTAATATTGTGGTTTTATGGGAGCAGGCCTATTAATTCTGCTTTAACTGTATAAGTGCTATTATTCCTTCAATAAGATCACTGGCTATGTAGTATAGGATTAAAGACTTACTGTATAACGTAACTGATGCTGTAATTTTTCAAGGAATCTTGAATGCTCTTTATCATGATTGTTTGTGAAGTGTATTCTGTGGTGATATGTGGAATACAATCTTTAATCCTCACAGTTTTAATTGTTTTTTTCCTAGCTGCAGCACAGCATGCTGGACCAAACGCTAACTTTAGCTCCAGCGCTATGGGATGTTGGTGCCAGCTGCGTACTTCCACGCCAGAGTTTCAGAGAGATTTTGAAGCAGCTAGAGCAGCACAAGCACGCTAATAAACTCTTCCAAACTGGAGGAAGCTTACAGTTTGAGCTTAATGACTTGAGCCACAACTGTTCTTGCATGCCAAAAAACAAGCACTCCATTCCACCAGCACTCACTGATTCCATTTATTCTGTCAGAGTGGCTCTTGGAGGCTTTCTCAAGGCCTGCACTCTTTTTACTTTGCAAATCATATAGTGTCATATGGTCTAGAACAGGGGTAATCAATTAAAGTTCCAAGAAGTCCGGTCTCTATATTTCTTTCCCAGCGGAGGTCTGGACAATAATTAGATATAAATAGATATAATATAAATACGAATATATATACATTTCCATTTGGGCAGCTTTGCAAAAGAAAAAGAAAAATCCAAAACAGTCAAAATAAAGACATTAGGCCTGAGAGCCAAAGCAGTGATACACAGACACACACACACACACACACACACACAAACAAACAAACAAACAAAGCAGTTGAGCCCAATTGGATATGAATATTAAAAGGTAAGACTATGTATGGCAGAAGGCCATATTACTTAGAGAAGATACTTCATGGGGGTTCAGGTTTTTCCTCTTGAAGTCTGGACCATTATTATGTTTTGTTAAAATAATGCGATATATAATATATATATATATATATATATATAGAGGGTTGCAGGGTTTTATGTTTATGCGGCGCGGCGAGATGCAATGCAACGCATAAAAAGACAGTATAAGTCATTATAATCAGTAAATATGTCCCCACTGGATGCAACAAATACCTAGTTTGTAATGGGTTTTAATGTTTTTGTCTCGTCGCTCCGGCAGGATATGGCATCAACAGTATGGTGGGTGTAACATTTCTGTCACATGCTGGAGGTATTCGGCCAATCACAATGCACTGGATAGCTGGCCAATCACAGCACACCTCGCTTTTCAGACCGATGAGCTTTGTAAAAATCGATGTGTTTCAAAAAGGCAGGGCATAGAGGAGAAACAATAATATACAATATGTAAAAAATAATGTTTTTTTTTATTTTAAACTGCATAAACACATTTCATTACACCAAATACACAAAATAATGTTCTTTTTAGCAGTATCATATGACCCCTTTAAATTACATCATTGGTGACCTCATTGATCCCTACAGCTGCAGTTATGAACTGAACTCCTTAAGATTAAAAAGCACTGTTATTCAGCAGTGAAAGTGTATGGAGTGGTAGAGGATTTTTCCAGAGCACTGAATTATTGGCTGCTTAACTCCTTTTTCTAGCTTGAGAGGTCCTAGTTTGGGCCAGATTATGAGGTTGTGTGTCTTCAACAAAGATCAAGCACTAAACCCTGTAAACCCTGCAAAGCCATGTAAACTTGCTTCTCTCTGCCCCATTTTCGACCACTGGAGACTCTGTCCCTGTGGGGTACAAGTCCAACTTTGCCTGCCAGAACAAATTACTTGCAGACAGAGAAATAGGGAAAGTACTTCTCTTTCTCTCTCTCTCTGTGTGTGTGTGTGTAGGAGAGCGGCAAGGACAGCGTTAAAAGACTGGTAGAGGGAAGGAGAGAAGGAAAGAGAAAGAGAGAGAAGGTGGATAGCTTGTGGGCGTTGATACTACCCATGAGGCCATTTAATGGGCTGTTTGGAATGCAGGGAAAAGACTCAGCTGCCTTCTCAATGGGATTCTGTGTCTTTGAAAAAAGAGAGACAAAGAGAGCAAGCTTGTGGGAAATCCTTGCCTGACTGCTGCTGTGATGTTGAATGTTGGCCTGTTTTATTTCAGTTGTGGCAAGCACAGACACAGAGACACTCCATTGCTGTTGTGTGAAGCTATGAACCTGCACATTTGCCTGGAAGAGGCCAAGCCCTGGAGGCTTTGCAAATAAAACCCATAAAGAGCTCCCTAAAACACACGTTAGCACTAACACTGCCTCCCTCACTATCCAAAGACTTAGCGTGACCAGACTTGTTCCACATTTATTGCCTCTGTCTGTGGGTCTGTCTACCTATGAGTCTCTGTGTATTTGTGTTTGTCTGTCTGTAGGTTTGTTTGGACCTGTCTTATGAATTGTCCTATTGCAGTACTAGCTACAAGGTTAGTTTTTTTATATAACAATGATAGATATTAGCATTGGCTAAGGTCTGACAACAAGTTTATATATAGTATATATATATATATATATAATCACAAATATCCAAAAAGGTCATGTCAGTTAATTAGTGAAACAGTGTAAACCCTGAAGAACATTCAGTTATTGAAACTGATACATCTTCTTCAAGAAATTTTTAATTTATAGTGCGTGCATAATTATTAGGCACATTGATCTATAACTGCTTAAAATTAGTTGTTTAATTTAAATAGATTTTTTCTTTTTTGTCACAGACATGTATGTCACGAGCACACATCAACAACACATTATTTCATGTCCTCTTTGTACTCTACATTTCAAAATGCAAAATTAACAATATATAATAATAATAATAATAAAAAATATATCAATAAAATAAAAAAAGTAATACAAATGAACTAATATTCTTTCTTTTTATTTCTCTCTTATTTAGAGGATGACAGTTCAGGTTCCCCGTATCATCGTGAGAGGCATAATGCCATCAGTAGGCAGGCCATGGTTCTGGGCGTATCAGGAAAACTGAGTGAGGAACTATCCACCTCTACTGAAGACCGCCCTCCATTAGTGAAGAAAGAGCTTCACAGCTCTCTGCCCCACCTGGTGGACCACACCCTGCCCTATCGGGGGACACTGTTCGCCATGGACCCTCGCAATGGATACCTGGACCCTCACTATAGTGAGTTACTACTTTGTCATGTTCTTTGGCCATATCGGGACAAACACCTACTCACTAATTTTTTGGTTCCAATTTATCTATACATTGTTGTATTTTTATCCTAAAATATTTTTTTTATCCTAAAGGCATAGTCCACCCAAAATATGTGAAATAAAAAATTGTATGTTTAGGAGAATGTCCTATCTGCTTTCTATGTAACAAATAATAGACAGCGACAAGAAAGTTATATACAAGAAATGTGTGTGAGGAACAAAGTGACATTTGATTTGTTACTTACTGAAAATCTTCTGCCTCCTGCTTTACATTTTTGGGTAAGCCTATTCATATCGAATTTATGCTGTCTCAGTAATGTGTTTTGCATAAGAGAGTCACCATGAACACCAAGTCCCTATAGACTGTAAATATTGTTGGTACATACAACTCAAGGACGAATGTTTGGCGCAGAGCTAGCACACTAACTTTTCTCCTCTATGAGGTGAAAGGCAAAGCTGCTCACGGATTGATTGGGCCTGACAGTTGACTAGTTGCCCTTTCTTTCTCATTTGCTCTTGCTTGCCTTTTAATTTTTTTCAGAGGGGAAGTTAGTATGGGGGACGATCTTCTCTGCTCCCTAATTCCCTCATTAGGGGCAGAGTGTAAGCACACAACTCTAGTCTCACTCATCAGCGGCATGATCAAAGCACCACAGAGAGGAAAGCAGTCAAGAAAGCGTTGACAACCCCCCCTGTTCTTTTCCATATTCTCTCTTTCTCTTGTTTGGCCTACCATTCTCCCCCATCATTTTTATAATAAAAATGAGAGACTCTTAGCAAGAGAGTGAGAACTTGTGAATGGACAGGATATAGTAAAGGAGAGAAATAAAGAGAGGGAGAGACAGATGAGGCTAGTCAAAGCCTTTTAAGAGGTTTTGCAGACCACCATTGCCTGACCATCACCTATGGACAAGGATTCAATATGATGGCTTGTTTAGTTTCGATAAATTGGCTTTGAATTGTGTTTGACGGTGTAGTTTTAATCTATAGCACTTAATGAAATGCCCTTACCTTTGTTCTCTCTCACAAAACCATTTACTGTATCACAGTTTGTTTAAACCACTTCATTAGCAGCCCTGTGCTTCGTTGGTGTAGTTTTGGTCCGTCTGTCTTAATGCACAAAGGTCAACTACAATCTGACCCATCAGACCACATATTGACTAATAAAAGCCTGACCACCTCAGCAAATCTGCCACTTTCTTTTTACAGAAAAACTGAGAAATAGGCAGAGAGTGTTTTAATGCGGGAGGCAGTGCCAGAGGAGAGGGAAGGTATGGATAGTGTTGATAAAGCAAATACCTCTGAAAAAGTCCCATAAATCTCCAATCTCCACTCTTTTCTTGTGATGAAGCAACACCTATATATATATATATATATATA